AAAAACTGGAAGTCTGTGCTCATAAATCACAACCATAAATCATCAAAACAAATTGAAATAACTCTACTTATAATAACTATCTGAAATATAAACTAAAGGTCACCTATCCATTCTAAAACATCTTTATACAAACCCTTGTTGATCCCTGGAGAACCAGCGTACCAGATTAGCGCCTTACAAGGAGTTTTCAATAATTTTGCTACATTTTAACCCAGCGTCTTTTACTCATGCTCAACTCGTGGTCTTGTCTTACTTTTTATTATTGTTTTAACCTGGACACAAACCAAACATTCATCACAAGATCAGCCCGATCAGAATAAAATTAATTGATTAACACACTTACCATCATTCAGCGTAGCTCCCCATCAGTTGCCACAGGTTGTAAAAAACGAACTTCCACTTCTTCTTCTTCTTCTGTTTTAAAAGTGATGCGCTCTTCTTCCTCTTTGTCTTTTAATGGCAGCTGACATCCAAAAGGATCATTACCTCCCTTATTGTGGGGCGCTCTGTTCCTTATCTTTATGTTATCAGCAGCGCAACCAGCTACCGTAATACCTATTTTTGCGCGCAACAGCTCTACCGTAATAACAGTCTACGCGCAACATTTTTCGCCTCGGTAAAATCGGGGACATTTCCGGGGACAGCTTTAGCCGGGGACAGGTGGTCCAAAACAGGGACAGTCCCCGGAAATCGGGGACGTCTGGTCACCCTATTCTATGGGTCGAGGACATGAGATAAACTGAACCATAAACGGAAAACAGGATTAACTGGTGACCAGTTGGTTCACAGCATGTCTGCAGGTTTACCTGGAGGAAGGAGAGGCCTCCACTGACTGGGGGGGCATCAATAAACAGCTCCAGTCTGTGATTGGTCAATTCAGTTGACTTAGAGTGATGTCATCTAAAGTCCATTAAGGGCAGCAGGTTCTGAGGAAACGACCTCCTCCTGCGCCTCCCTCAGAGACATTAAGGCTGATCGCAACTAAATCCAAGACCAATCACAACTAGTTTCATATTCTAATCCAGGACAAAAAAATTTGTGTTTTCTGGATTTAAAATGATTTTTATTAATTTTCTAATAAACAAACAATAATCACAGAAAACATATAAGAGTAAGAAAATCAAATTAAGAAAACCGGCTAATGCAGAAAAACATCTGCATTAGCCAGGGCTAACGTTAGCTCGTCTGAATTAGCCAGGGCTAACGTTAGCTCGTCTGAATTAGCCAGGGCTAACGTTAGCTTGTCTGAATTAGCCAGGGCTAACATTAGCTTGTCTGCATTAGCCAGGACTAACGTTAGCACGTCTGAATTAGCCAGGGCTAACGTTAGCTTGTCTGCATTAGCCAGGACTAACGTTAGCACGTCTGAATTAGCCAGGGCTAACGTTAGCTTGTCTGCATTAGCCAGGGTTAACGTTAGCTCCTCTGCAGTGGCCCTCGCTCTGCATAGCCATGTGTGAGGTACCGCTGGCTTTGATGGAGGTTTTTTTGTTTTATTCTGCAAAATGTTCATTTGATTTCATTATTATTCCTCCACTAAATTAATAAAGTCATAATTTATTATTATCTAGAGACTAAAAATCCTCCTTCTCACATATAAAGCCTTAAATGGCCAAGCTCCATCTGATATAAGAGATCTGATTGTTCCTTATGTTCCTAACAGAGCACTTCGCTCTCAATCTGCAGGTTTACTAGTGGTTCCTAGAATTTCTAAAAGTAGAATGGGAGGCAGATCTTTTAGTTATCAGGCTCCTCTCCAGTGGAACCAACTACCAGTTTTAGTCGGTGAGGCAGACACCCTGTCTACTTTTAAGGCTAGGCTTAAAACTTTCCTTTTTGATAAAGCTTCTAGTTAGAGTGGCTCAGGTTATCCTGAGCTATCTCTATAGTTCTGCTGCTATAGGCTTAGACTGCTGGAGGACATAGGGACCCTTTTTTCATCATTCTGCATTCTGCTTCGTCTGCCTGGCTGTGTGTTTCCTGGACGGGGCCGCCGTTGGAGCTGGTTGACAGTTGCCTTTTGTATCTATGCTTCTTTTTCTATGTCTGCTTCTGTCTCCTTGAACCCCAGTCGGCCTCAGCAGATGGCCGCTCACACTGAGCCTGGTTCTGCTGGAGGTTTCTTCCTGTTCAAAGGGAGTTTTTCCTCTCCACTGTCGCTACAAGCATGCTTAGTGTGAGGGATTGCTGAAGAGTCAATGGATCTGTTCGAAATCCTGGGCTGCTTCCTCCAAGGACGCGGTCTACCTAGAATTAGGGATGCAGGATATTAGGATTTTGGCCGATATCCGATATTTTAAAACTCATGTAGCCGATAACCGATATCGATACCGACGTTAAAATAAGTAGTCATTGAAAATAGCAGTTTTGTTATCCATTTCTGACACTTTGAAAAATAATATACTCAAATATATTTTCATATGCTGATATCAAATAGATTTTTAAAAACGCGGTATCGATCTATTTTACTTTCAAAATCTTGTGAAATTTCATCGTTCTGTTACAAACTCTCGTGATATTTTGCAAATTCTTGTGAGATTTTGTTAGTAAAATAGATCGATACCGCGTCAATATATCAACATATAAAAATATGGCAACATTTCGTGAATTTTCGGGGGATTTCGTTGCATAACGATGACATATAGCAATATTTCATTAGTAAAAGAGATTGATATGGTGTTTTTAAATGGAAATATATCAGCATATGAAGATATTGGGATATTTTAATGTATCAATATTTTTTCCCTCGTCTTTAGAAGTTTTACAGGAAGAAGAAGAAGTAGTATTTTTTATTTTTTTTTAGACTTTAGAAACTCAGAAGCTGATCAAATATCAGGTTAAATATCGGTGGGGTGGCCGATGTCCGATATTCGGTTTTAAGGCCGATACAGATAGGGGGCCGATTATATCGTGCATCCCTACCTAGAATGGATCCTTCGAAGTCCTTGAAAATAAGGAGACCGGAAGAGTTTAGGCTGTGAATTCGACCAGGTCCACCCTTCGGCGGGTTTTACCACCGTATGCTCTGTTGCTTAGCAGCCGTGAAAGTTGACACACAAAGCAGGAAAAGAATGAAAACTGAAGTTTTCAAAACTGTTTATTTACTTATTATTTATTATACTGTGAACAAAGACTACACTCATTATAATCCAGAGTGGAATAAAGGTTCCAACCACCGTGAGCAGGAACAAATCAAATCAAATGTAATGATAGAAACCTTAGTCAGTTAAATAACCTGCTGCTGTCATTCTGCACATCTGCACAAAATGTCCATAGCTTCATGTTGGTTATTAATTCTCCAGTTTTATATTGTTAAAACACTTTACAGAATTTTATTGTTTATATTTTAACTCTTCCCTATTATGTTATTCTTAGACATTTTTCTAATTTCATTTTCAATCATCTTTCTGCTACAATAAAGGGATTTTCTATTCTATTCTATAAAAGGGGTAGAAAGATATAAGTAAATCTAAACAATGTATGTATAAAAAATATATCTGCAAAATCTCTAATATCCTCTTACACCCTAAGGGGGTATAAATAAATTTCTGCCTGACAAAAACACACAAAAGTAAATAACTTATAGCCTCAAAGCTATTAGATTTAAGAAGAAACTTTTGGTACGTCTGTAAAGGTAAGATGTCATAGAATGGTTTTCTGGTGTCAGCACCATTGTAGCTTTGACCCTGCCTGAAATATTAGGGACAAAATACAAAATATTTTGCATTTTTTGAACCTCGCCAAAATTTTCTTTGAAATAAACATTGCAAAACACTACCAAAATATTATTTATAGCACAAAAAAGTAGTACAGACTTTCAAATCTAAATATTGTGTAAAAATATACCAAATTTGGACTCAATCAGATGAATCATATTTATTTTAGAATGGTATTAGTGAGAAATTTCTTAGGCGGAGAGGCCATTTTGGCACATTTATCCATAAATGTCACCAAACTGTGCCAAATATGTTTTTTACATCAATACTGGGGGTTTGGTAAGATTACGAGGTCACGTAGCAGCTGGACCCGCCGGTGGGTCCGTAGGGTTCAAGGGGATATTCAACAACAAAAAAATACGTAGTTAAGCATATTGTGCAAAACAGCAATAAAAAGATAAAAACCCTATCAGATTTATAGTCCCCACCCTGCAGATATATTAGAATCTGTCCTTAAATTCCAGCCAAACCCATTTACACAGTAACAGATAAAAACCTTTAGATAAATCAAACATTACCGCCACATATCTGACTCTATAACCATTAAAACAACTATTTTCATTAATCTCAGACGGAACTATTCACTGACTGGATTATATTAAACTGAACTTCCAATTTTCACTACTGGTCGGCGCCAAGTAACCTTTCCTCTGATCACGGCTTGCTTGGTCTCGCAATGAATGCTGGGATATCTGAGGATACATCGGACCCGTCCTTCAAATCGGGCTAAAGGAAAGACGCATTTTAAGGCCGCATAACGAGGAGTCTTGGAATCCGACCAGACCTCGGCGCCGCGCTATGACATCATCGGCCTTTGAATCTGGCCTTCTAAGGATGCGTCCTAGGATTTTGAACAGAGCAAATGAGTCGATGCAATCAGCTGGTTTTCCTTAGATAGAAAACTTTGAGCCAATCTGACTGGATGATCTGGTTGAATTGTTTCTATAAAGTGACCTGAGATGACATGATGTGAATTAAAGATATAGAAATAAACTGAATAGAATTGAATGTTGTGTTCTAAAAACTGAAAAACAGAAATAAACTAGCTTGTTGTGGACTATGCTGTTGCTCAGGGGGGTGAAAGGTTCTGGACGAAAATCTCACAAAGACTCAGAGAAGATGAAGGAGGAGGCAGGGTTCCTCTGGAGGAACCAGATCCAGAACAATCAGAACCAACTGAAACAGAGACAATGCTGCTGGAGGTCCAGCACCTGAGGGTCAGGAGGATCTGACCCGCGTCCAGATGTTTGTCCATCAGCAGAGGGAAATAAATGAAACAGAAACAGTAGCTGGAGATCAGTTTTATTGAGAAGGTTTAAGGTCTGCCTGCAGGGGGCGACACTGCGTCCCTCAGACCTCCAGCAGCGTTCGGATCCAGTTGGGACCTCAGGACCTCCAGACTCAGACCAAACCTTCCTGACTGGACTTTTATCTTCAGAGGGCTGAGGGTCACCCTGTTGCTAGGGGCAACGCTGCCTTCTATGAGCTGTGATTGGTTGATCCAAGAACCCAAATGATTCTAGCAGACTGAGTCCCGTACATAAAGTCTGTCAGATGTTTGGAGCTCCTCTCCATCCTCCCTGTGGTTCTGGTTCTGCTGATCAGCAGTTTGGATGCAGCAGATTATTCTGTTCAGGTTTATCTTCAGCCACGAGGCTCCGCTTCTGAAAATGAAGAACCTCCAGAGAACCTGTAGAGAACCTTCCACCTGCTCCTGGTCCTTCTTCAGCGTCCACCTGGCTGCTTCCTGGAGCTGCGGTCCGCTGGTTCTGCTGGGTTCTGGTACCGTTTGGACTGCCTCAGAGCTCCTCTGCAGATCAGAGTGAACCAGTAGAGCTGCAGGGGCCACAGCAGGGCGGCCCCCAGGTTACACTGCCAGGGGGCCACCAGGGGCACCTGGTACAGAGGGATGGAGGCGTACCTGCAGCAGCAGACAGGGGGCGCTGTGGTCATGTCATTCAAAAAATGATGTTTAACTAGTTTCTATCTGCAGTTCAGATTCATCAGATTAAACTTTGATCATAGATCAACGTTTTCAGATTCAACCTAATCTATGCAGCTCCTCCTGAGCTCTAACTGTTCAGGAGGACCTGGAACTACGGAGTGGCCTAATCAAAGTCCACACAATGTTGGAACCTTTCCTGTCCGTCCTATCGGCCTCCCTGAGGACCAGCAGGGGGCGTCGTTCCACCGATCCACATGGAAACATCTGCTGCCCAGCTGCCTCAGCCAGAGGGAAACCATTAGGAGGGACCAGTTTTCATGGGTCGCCATGACGATGACCGTCAGCCAATCAGACCCCACTGAGGAGGCTTTCTGAGTTCTAGTCACCTAGACCAGACGTCTCTGCTTCCACACCACAACAAAATGGCTGAACTTCCTCCTCAGTCTGGGGTCCGGTTGTCCACCTAAAGAACTCAGATTGACTCGGATCAGAGGAACATCCAACCGGAGCAGGAATCTATGAGCTGAGCTGGTCCGCCATTGGCCAGACAGGTCTGAGAATCACAGCAAGCTACGCTAAGCTAATCTATGCTAAGCTAATCTACGCTAAGCTAATCTACACTAAGCTAAAGTATTCTACACTAAGCTAAACTAAGCTAAACTAATCTACGCTAAGCTAATCTACACTAAGCTAAAGTAATCTACACTAAGCTAAACTAAGCTAAACTAATCTACGCTAAGCTAAACTAAGTTAAACTAATCTACGCTAAACTAATCTACGCTAAGCTAATCTACGCTAAACTAATTTACGCTAAGCTAAAGTAATCTACACTAAGCTAAACTAAGCTAAACTAATCTACGCTAAGCTAAACTAATCTACGCTAAGCTAAAGTAATCTACACTAAGCTAAACTAAGCTAAACTAATCTACGTTAAGCTAATCTACGCTGAGCTAAAGTAATCTACACTAAGCTAAACTAAGCTAAGCTACGCTAAGCTAATCACCTGATCAGTCCATCCATCATCCATCCAGTCCTGATTCAGGACCAGGCATGCTCAGGAAGAACATGAAAACTCCATGCAGAGAGACCCTGGACCAGGAGTCGAACCCAGAACCATCTTGCTGCAAGGCAGCAGTTCCTCTGCAGGTCCAGGTGTCTCTAATGATGGAGGACGGAGCAGTAACCCTAAAATCCCACATCCTCCATTAGTGCCTCCTGCTCAGAGCAAAGCCTGCAGCCTCCGCTGTTCCTCCCCTCCTACTCCGCTCGACTTCCTCAGAGCTCCAGGAGAGCAGCGCCATATTATTTTTAAATTCATAGGAGCAAAAGATGCAGAAATAAACACTTAATTTAATCTGACATTAAAATAATCCCCATCAGCATCCAGCAGATGTTCAGTTTCAGGAATCTGGGGGAGGATGTGGAATCTGACGGAGGATGTGGTTTCTGGGGGAGGATGTGGAATCTGGAGGAGGATGTGGAATCTGACGGAGGATGAGGAATCTGGGGGAGGATGTGGATCTTGGCGGAGGATGTGGAATCTGGCGGAGGATGTGGAATCTGACGGAGGATGTGGAATCTGGGGGAGGATGTGGAATCTGACGGAGGATGTGGAATCTGACGGAGGATGAGGAATCTGGCGGAGGATGTGGAATCTGGGGGAGGATGAGGAATCTGGGGGAGGATGAGGAATCTGGGGGAGGATGTGGAGTCTGACGGAGGATGTGGAATCTGACGGAGGATGAGGAATCTGGGGGTGGATGTGGAATCTGGGGAAGGATGAGGAATCTGGGGGAGGATGTGGAATCTGACGGAGGATGTGGAATCTGACGGAGGATGAGGAATCTGGGGGTGGATGTGGAATCTGGGGAAGGATGAGGAATCTGGGGGAGGATGTGGAATCTGGGGGAGGATGTGGCATCTGACGGAGGATGTGGCATCTGACGGAGGATGTGGAATCTGGGGGAGGATGTGGAATCTGACGGAGGATGTGGAATCTGGGGGAGGATGTGGAATCTGACGGAGGATGTGGAATCTGACGGAGGATGAGGAATCTGGGGGTGGATGAGGAATCTGGGGGAGGATGAGGAATCTGGGGGAGGATGTGGAATCTGGGGGAGGATGTGGAATCTGGGGGAGGATGTGGAATCTGACGGAGGATGTGGAATCTGGGGGAGGATGTGGAATCTGGGGGAGGATGAGGAATCTGGGGGAGGATGAGGAATTTGGGGGAGGATGTGGAATCTGACGGAGGATGTGGAATCTGACGGAGGATGAGGAATCTGGGGGAGGATGTGGAATCTGGGGGAGGATGTGGAATCTGACGGAGGATGTGGAATCTGACGGAGGATGAGGAATCTGGGGGTGGATGTGGAATCTGGGGAAGGATGAGGAATCTGGGGGAGGATGTGGAATCTGGGGGAGGATGTGGAATCTGACGGAGGATGTGGAATCTGACGGAGGATGTGGAATCTGGGGGAGGATGTGGAATCTGACGGAGGATGTGGAATCTGGGGGAGGATGTGGAATCTGACGGAGGATGTGGAATCTGACGGAGGATGTGGAATCTGGGGGAGGATGTGGAATCTGACGGAGGATGTGGAATCTGACGGAGGATGAGGAATCTGGGGGTGGATGTGGAATCTGGGGAAGGATGAGGAATCTGGGGGAGGATGTGGAATCTGGGGGAGGATGTGGAATCTAGGGGAGGATGTGGAATCTGGGGGAGGATGTGGAATCTGACGGAGGATGTGGAATCTGGGGGAGGATGTGGAATCTGGGGGAGGATGTGGAATCTGACGGAGGATGTGGAATCTGACGGAGGATGTGGAATCTGACGGAGGATGTGGAATCTGACGGAGGATGAGGAATCTGGGGGAGGATGTGGAATCTGGCAGAGGATGTGGAATCTGGGGGAGGATGTGGAATCTGGGGGAGGATGTGGAATCTGGGGGAGGATGAGGAATCTGGGGGAGGATGTGGAATCTGGGGGAGGATGTGGAATCTGGGGGAGGATGAGGAATCTGGGGGAGGATGTGGAATCTGGGGGAGGATGTGGAATCTGACGGAGGATGTCGAATCTGGGGGAGGATGTCGAATCTGGGGGAGGATGTGGAATCCGGGGGAGGATGTGGAATCTGGCGGAGGATGTGGAATCTGATGGAGGATGTGAAATCTGGGGGAGGATGTGGAATCTGACGGAGGATGTGGAATCTGGGGGAGGATGTGGAATCTGACGGAGGATGTGGAATCTGACGGAGGATGAGGAATCTGGCGGAGGATGTGGAATCTGGGGGAGGATGAGGAATCTGGGGGAGGATGTGGAATCTGGGGGAGGATGTGGAATCTGGGGGAGGATGAGGAATCTGGGGGAGGATGTGGAATCTGGGGGAGGATGTGGAATCTGGTGGAGGATGTGGAATCTGGGGGAGGATGTGGAATCTGACGGAGGATGAGGAATCTGACGGAGGATGTGGAATCTGGGGGAGGATGTGGAATCTGGTGGAGGATGTGGAATCTGGGGGAGGATGTGGAATCTGACGGAGGATGAGGAATCTGACGGAGGATGTGGAATCTGGGGGAGGATGTGGAATCTGACGGAGGATGTGGAATCTGACGGAGGATGAAGAATCTGACGGAGGATGTGGAATCTGGGGGAGGATGTGGAATCTGACGGAGGATGTGGAATCTGACGGAGGATGAGGAATCTGGCGGACGATGTGGAATCTGACGGAGGATGTGGAATCTGGGGGAGGATGAGGAATCTGGGGGAGGATGTGGAATCTGGGGGAGGATGTGGAATCTGGGGGAGGATGAGGAATCTGACGGAGGATGAGGAATCTGACGGAGGATGAGGAATCTGGCGGAGGATGTGGAATCTGACGGAGGATGTGGAATCTGGGGGAGGATGAGGAATCTGGGGGAGGATGTGGAATCTGGGGGAGGATGTGGAATCTGGGGGAGGATGAGGAAACTGGCGGAGGATGTGGAATCTGACGGAGGATGTGGAATCTGGGGGAGGATGAGGAATCTGGGGGAGGATGTGGAATCTGGGGGAGGATGTGGAATCTGGGGGAGGATGAGGAATCTGACGGAGGATGTGGAATCTGGGGGAGGATGTGGAATCTGGGGGAGGATGTGGAATCTGGGGGAGGATGTGGAATCTGACGGAGGATGTGGAATCTGGGGGAGGATGTGGAATCTGGGGGAGGATGTGGAATCTGACGGAGGATATGGAATCTGGGGGAGGATGTGGAATCTGGGGGAGGATGTGGAATCTGGGGGAGGATGTGGAATCTGGGGGAGGATGTGGAATCTGGGGGAGGATGTGGAATCTGACGGAGGATGTGGAATCTGGGGGAGGATGTGGAATCTGGGGGAGGATGTGGAATCTGGGGGAGGATGTGGAATCTGGGGGAGGATGAGGAATCTGACGGAGGATGTGGAATCTGGGGGAGGATGTGGAATCTGGGGGAGGATGTGGAATCTGGGGGAGATGCTGGAGCAGTAATGGATCCTGGATGTGATGTTTACCTGCTGTAGGCCAAGTAGAGGTACGGGAAGAGCAGCACCCTGCAGCTGAAGAAGCTGAGCAGCATGAAGACTCCGTTCACTTTGTGCAGCACTGAGTTCTGCTTCTGATACTGATGAGACACAAGAACCAACAGTCAGAACTGGACGGAACCAGCTTAACCACAACAATGGAAACCAGACCTAAGAGGTGGAGGAACAGGAAGGTTCTGGAAAAACGGGTCTCCTGAAAGTCGGAAGACAAATTCTGATCCTTTTTTTTGCAGCTGCAGAAAATCTGAATTCAGAAAAGTTCTGGTCTCAGTCGGGAACATTTTCTCTCTGGTTCTGGTTAAACCGGTTTCAAACCCAGATCTGACGCAGGACCAGTTAAAGCAATCTGGATTACTCAGACCTGTTTCAGACCCTCATCCACCTTCTAGGACGGCTCTGGATCAGATCCAGAACCCTGACAGATTACCTGGATCAGAACTTTTCCCAGACAGACGGAGGGCGTGCTGAGTTCAGCCAGGAACAGGACTCCCTGGAAGTAATCCCCTTTACCCCGGCGCCACAGCTGGAGGAGAGAAGAAGAATCGGATTAGACTCAGCAGATCGGACCTTTACTGGACCTTCTCTAGAAGCAGAACTTCTCTTCATTGAACTTAATAAATGGATGTAAAAAGAATCAGAACCAAAGGAAATTAATGAGCTGTTTAATGTGCAGGACGTTCAGATGGCGTCACCTGCAGGCTGGAAATGTAACAACGTCCCCGCCTCTATCAGCTACAGGTTCTGAAGGGTCACTAACTGGGACTGGGACCCGGAGGAGCCCAGGTTAGCAGAACCTCTGTTCTCCACTGGTTCTGGGTCGGGATCAGTTTGGGAACTGAGCTCCAGAAGCAGAACTGCTTTCAAAGCAGGATTTTCTTTTGTTGACTCGTATCTGAACCAAGTTAAACTGGTTTCCTGGTTCTGCTTGGACCTGTTCTGGACCTGGTTTCCAGTTTAAGAGGTTCTAGTTGAGTTTGAAGCTGGTTAGGTTCCCACAGGTTCTGATCAAATGGACCGGTTCTGAACTTCAAACTCTGTAGGGATGGATCAACCAGAATATTTAACCGGTTTGGACCTGAACTGTGCTTTGGACATTTTTGGTTCTGGTTTAATGAAAGAATGGGACTGACCGGGTTTTTGGCTGGTTCTGAACGGGTTTTCGGCCGGTTCTGACTGGGTTTGGTTTTCGGCCGGTTCTGACCGGGTTTGGTTATCAGCCGGTTCTGGCCGGGTTTGGTTTTCGGCCTGTTCTGACCGGGTTTCCGGCTGGTTCTGACCAGGTTTGGTTTTCGGCCAGTTCTGACTAGGTTTTCGGCCGGTTCTGACTGGGTTTTCGGCCGGTTCTGACTAGGTTTGGTTTTTGGACGGTTCTGACCAGGTTTGGTTTTCGGACGGTTCTGACCGGGTTTTCGGCCGGTTCTGACTGGGTTTTCGGCCGGTTCTGACTGGGTTTTCGTCCGGTTCTGACTGGGTTTTCGTCCGGTTCTGACCGGGTTTTCGGCCGGTTCTGACCGGGTTTGGTTATCAGCCGGTTCTGGCCGGGTTTGGTTTTCGGCCTGTTCTGACCGGGTTTCCGGCTGGTTCTGACCAGGTTTGGTTTTCGGCCAGTTCTGACTAGGTTTTCGGCCGGTTCTGACTGGGTTTTCGGCCGGTTCTGACTAGGTTTGGTTTTTGGACGGTTCTGACCAGGTTTGGTTTTCGGACGGTTCTGACCGGGTTTTCGGCCGGTTCTGACTGGGTTTTCGGCCGGTTCTGACTGGGTTTTCGTCCGGTTCTGACCGGGTTTTCGGCCGGTTCTGACCAGGTTTGGTTTTTGGACGGTTCTGACCGGGTTTTCAGCCGGTTCTGACTGGGTTTTTGGCCGGTTCTGACTGGGTTTTCGGCCGGTTCTGACCGGGTTTTCGGCCGGTTCTGACCGGGTTTTCGGCCGGTTCTGACCAGGTTTGGTTTTTGGACGGTTCTGACCGGGTTTTCGGCCGGTACTGACTGGATGTTGGAGACATTTTGGACTGAGGTTCTGTTCCTGTTTTAACTGGAAACAGGTTTAAACTGGTTTTTAATCTTTCTGAGAGACCTGGTCCAGAGTGAGACCTGGTGGACTGGTTCTGGACTCAGCTGGGTCCATTGTTAGTTGTGATGGTGTTGCCGGAGGAGCAACCCCTCCCTCTCAGATACTGCGTTGCCATAGTTACCAGAGAAGCAGGGCAGCAGAAGGCAACCATGAAGACGTGATGCAGAACCATCAGCACCTCCCTGCGCATGAAACCCCACAGCGCCGCCCGCAGCGAGTTGCCGTTTGGCACCGCCTCCTGGTGACCTTTGACCTGCAGCTTGTACCAGTAGCACAGGAACATGGCGAAGATGTCGTAGGCGAAGTAGGGCGTGGCGAACAGGATGTAGGACTCTGTGAGCCAGTGTCTGAGGAGGAGACGCAGCAGATGCTTGAGATCTACTAGAACCGAGGAGACAAACCTCCAGTTTCCTGCTCAGACCCTCCATCCCATCCAGCCTGGAACTGGTCCCTCCCTGGTTCTGGACTCAGGACAGGAACTGGTCCCTCCCTGGTTCTGGACTCAGGACAGGAACTGGTCCCTCCCTGGTTCTGGACAGGAACTGGTACCTCCCTGTTTCTGGACTCGGGACAGGAACTGGTCCCTCCCTGGTTCTGGAAATGGTCCCTCCCTGCTTCTGGACTCGGGACAGGAACTGGTCCCTCCCTGGTTCTGGACTCGGGACAGGAACTGGTCCCTCCCTGCTTCTGGACTCGGGACAGGAACTGGTCCCTCCCTGGTTCTGGACTCGGGACAGGAACTGGCCCCTCCCTGGTTCTGGAACTGGTCCCTCCCTGCTTCTGGACTCGGGACAGGAACTGGTCCCTCCCTGGTTCTGGAACTGGCCCCTCCCTGCTTCTGGACTCGGGACAGGAACTGGTCCCTCCCTGGTTCTGGAACTGGTCCCTCCCTGGTTCTGGACTCGGGACAAGAACTGGTCCCTCCCTGGTTCTGGATTTGGGACAGGAACTGGGATCCAGACAGAAGCCCCCTCCAAGTCCTGGTCTGGCCCGCTGGAACCGGACGGAACCTTCAGCATTTAAATCTTGGAACTGGATTCAATCCTCTGAAGCTCTGATCTCCTGCAGGGACCTAAAATCTCCCCGAATCCCTTGCAGCTCTGCGGCTCATTTGATAAACAAATATGACTGGGACCAGTGCTCCACTTTGACTGGGAAATCAGAGCCGTTTCCCAGCATGCTCAGCGAGGAGGATTACTGCCAGCAGCTGCAGCTCAGATTAATCCTAGGTTGGTAATTAGATTACAGTGCAGCATCCTTACCTGTCCTCCATGATGTCCCTGCAGGACGAAGCGATGATCCAACCAGCCGACGAGGCCATGACGGCCTGCAGAGACGACACCAGACTGGGAGGACAGGGACAGACTGGTTAGACTGGGAGCTCAGCTCAGTTCATCTCTTTATGGCAGGAATTCAAATGTTCAGTTATTGTTTTGTTTCCTGTGGTTTATCCATATTTAATCTGCTTCATCTGATCAGAACTTAAAGCGTTGGATGTTTCTGAGGAGCCCTCTGATTGGTCCATCTGGGTTCAGTCTCTCCTCCTCTGATTAGTTGCTGGTGCTGTAGCCATGGAGATGGTTTCCTCTCCAACAGAAAACCATCCATCCTACCTGGACCTCCACCCAGAACCCAGGAGAACCTTCTAAAGAGTTCTCAGGTGGATCTAAAGAAACCCTTCAGAACCGGGTCCCCTCTGGGTCCCAGCAAAACCCAGAACCAGAGTTCCCAGTTAGACAGACCTCATGATGTCTCAGGGGTCTGTGTCTGCAGCAGAGGAGTCAAACTGTGGTGTTAAACTGGTCCCAGTGGTTCTGACCCGATGGGAACGATGGGCGGCGCCACTACAGGTTCTCCCCACACAGTGGAAGGTTCTCACCTTCTAACTCTGTAAACCACAGCATGGAACATCGGACCGTTTTATTCTCAAACACCAGAAACGGTCCTGGTTAGGGTCCTGGTTAAGCTGTATAAAATAAATGCAAGGCAATGAAATGTCCCCCCATGTCAGGAAAAGGCAGCTCAGTGTGTGTGTGTGTTACCGTGTGGACAGAAGCACGGCTTCTTCCTCGCTCCATCCCAGCAGCCGCTTCAGGAATCCTTTGGACACCAGGAAGAGTCCTGGGAAGAAGACGGAGCCAGCAGCCAGCGGGTGCAGCATTCCTGAAGGGACCAGGTGGAGCGGTTTGTGTGTGTGTGTGAGGATGCAGGAGCTCCAGAGAGCAGGATCAGGGGGCGGAGCCTCATGGAGCCACCTGTGAGAGGAGGTGTGCTGAAGGGGAGGAGGGGAGATTATCCACAGTAGAGGATCAGACCTACAGAACTAATCAGGAGCAACCAGATCAGAACCCAGATTCTGGAGCAGAAGGATCCCTCAGACTGAAACCTTTGGATCTTCACTCGACCCACAAAGGTCAGAGGGGAGGTTCTGGCATCCATTTCTAGTCCAGCACCAAGTCGGGCTCCATGATTTACCCTCAGCCTTCCCCAAAGCTCCGCCTGTCAGAACATCTTATGGAGAGAGCAGTGGCCTAGTGGTTACAGCATAGAGCTATGAATCCAGAGGTTCTGAGTTCAAGTCAGACCGCCACTGTGGGTCCCTGAGCAAGACCCTTAACCCACAGTGCTCTCCGGGTGCCCAGCGATGGAAGCCCTCTGCTCCCCGAGGGGAGGGGTTAATGCAGAGAGGGAATTTCTCCAGTTTGGGATCAATAAAGTTCAGTTATTATTATTAACTGAATTAATAATCAGACCCTAAAAACAGAAACGATCAAAGCAGCTTAGATAAACTGCAGAACTACAGGCCTCCTTCCTCACCACAGCTCAGAGACTGACCTCATTATGGTGTTCTATTCTATTCAGTTTATTTCTATAGATCCAATTCACATCACGTCATCTCAGGTCACTTTATAGATCCAGATCAACCAGATCATCCAGTCAGATTGATTCAAAGTTTTCTATCTAAGGAAAACCAGCTGATTGCATCGACTCATTGACTCTTCAGCAATCCCTCACACTAAGCATGCTTGTAGCGACAGTGGAGAGGAAAAACTCCCTTTGAACAGGAAGAAACCTCCAGCAGAACCAGGCTCAGTGTGAGCGGCCATCTGCTGAGGCCCACTGGGGTTCAAGGAAACAGAAGCAGACATAGAAAAAGAAGCATAGATACAAAAGGCAACCAGCTCCACAGGCGGCCCCATCCAGGAAACACACAGCCAGGCAGACGAGCTCCGAGCCAGCTCCCATGTCAGAGGATGAAGAGAGCACATCCAGTTAGTCACAGTCAGAGAAACAGGACTACACTGGAAAACAGGCCAAGCTCCAACATCTAGAAACAAAGGAGTTGATGGCAGCAGCACAGCTGATATTTCTCTCCAGGATGGAGTCACAGCCAAACAGGAACAGACCAGATGAAGCTACTATGAGAAAAAGCAGAGAGAGCAGAACGTTAGAGATTGAACTAACAGATTCTGCAGAGTGGGAGAATAGAGATAGAATGAGGCAGAATGATGAAAAAGGGGTCCCTATGTCCTCCAGCAGTCTAAGCCTATAGCAGCAGAACTATAGAGATAGCTCAGGATAACCTGAGCCACTCTGACTAGAAGCTTTATCAAAAAGGAAAGTTTTAAGTCTAGCCTTAAAAGTAGACAGGGTGTCTGCCTCAATAAATACAGGGACTAGTTTCTCAGCATCACCCCTGGACAGGAGATTGCTCATTTTTGCAATGTTCCTCAGATGAAAGAAGGAAATTGTAGAAACCTCTTTGATCTGGGATTTAAATGACAGGTCCTGATCGGTTGCGTGTTCAACGTCCCTGGGAAACTGGGTCGGCCTTCAGAAGCAGAACAGCCCCATGGCTCCATCTTAGGGCCCCCCCCCCCATTCAGTATCTTCACCCCCCCCCCCCCCCCCCCCCCCCCCCCCCAAATCAGATCTCAGGAAACAGTATCAGTTGCCATAGTGATGTCACCCGGTGATCCAGCTGTGGATGAAGAAATCAACCCTTGGATGAAATAAATGGAGCAACTTGGATGCAGGTGATTCTGTGGATATTTTAAAAGGCTTTAATTTTTAATGATACATGAGGTGTGTGAGAAAGTTGAAGCGCAACTGGGGGAGCAGCGGCTGGGGGGGCAGCGGCTGGGGGAGCAGCACCATCCATCTGATGTGGAATTATTAACTGAAAACAAATGGGGCTTTAATTTTGAAATTCCATTGGTTTATCTGGGCTGTGAGGATTGGCCTGAGGGCCTGCTGCCATCTGTAGCTAAAGGTTTTCATGTGAAAAAGTTAATTTCTAAGAGCATTTAATGAGTAAAAACAGTGAGTGAGATTTTTATACGTTTCAGAGTTGATATTAAAGGATTAAAATATTTAATCTCAGAGCATGAGAAAAAACAGCATCAAACTGAATAATAAGAAAAAGGACAAACGTTAAAATGACCGCTCTTATTTTGAAACATATTGTCAGCGTCAGCAAACAGCAGCCAATCAGAGACTAGACGGCTGGGAGGAGGAGGAGCTTTTAACTTCCAATCCAGAGGAAATGAGGTTAACAAAGATGGCCGTCCTCCCTCTGTCCCCACCCTCCGTCCCCGCCCTCCATCTGTCCCCGTCCTCTCTCTGTCCCCTCCCTCCGTCCCCGCCCTCCCTCTGTCCTTTCTCTGTCCCCGTCCTCCCTCTGTCCCCGTTTGGACCGGATCACCTGATCAGAACCATGAGGCTCTACGGTTCCTCCAGGTTGTTCTGCCTGGAATCGGATCCATCAGGTAGCGGTTCTGGTTCCATCAGAACCTCCACCCTGAGGGACACCAGGGACTCCTCCCTCCCAGCAGAACCTCCAATAAGCTGCTTCTGCCCCCCCCCCCCCAGACCCAGTGAACAGAGCAGAACCATGTGATCCAGTGTCCGTTTATTGATTCACCATCATTCACTAAACAGGTTTAAGAAATTCAAGTATCCGTCGGAACATCAGAACTAAACAGGAACAGAAGCAGGAAGGAAGTTCATCTAAAACAAAGACCAAACATTCAGAATAATAAACATCAAGTGGGTCGGACCGGGTCGGGGGTTCTAACGTCTACGCTCTCAGAGCAGCGCGGTTCTGACCCGGAAGGAACCGAGACGATTCAGAGGAATGGGATCAGGATTTTAGCGAGTAGCACGTTCCTCACTGTTCAACATTTATCAGCTGCTGGACGCATCGACCAATCAGAAGCTGATCTGGGAGCTGGCAGGGAGTCAGACGCAGCACTGCTGATGCAGAGCGCTATGATCACTTCTCTGAAACAGTTTATTAACGCCTAAATTAACTTCAAATGTAGAAACCTGCCGGCAGAATATGTTGGCTTTTATTATCCTGCTGCCTTCAATTTGTAGCACAGACCTGAAAAACGCTAACATCTACTTCCAGCCGCCACCAACAGTAGGGGAAAACCCCCCAGAGGTGAGCGGGCCTGAGGCAGCTGCTGCTGGGGATTCCCAGTGACAGCGCAGCGCCGGTATGTGGGGGTCTGGCATCGAACACAGGAGCAGCAGAAGCTTCTGGACTCACTTTACTGGACGTCTGACCTTAATGAGGATCAGAGATGAAGCAGCAGGAGCTCCTCTGATGGCGTTCAGTCTGAGCGAAGCATCAGAGTCTCTGATTGGTTGAATTCATCTATAAAACAGGAGCTAAGATGATGTCATCTCTCCTGATGAGGCTCACTGCTCCTATGATCAGGACTAAAGCAGAGTTGGAACAAAGACTAACGTTAATAAACAGGAAGTGGCGTTTCAGAGAGCCCGCCTCCCCGGCGCTAAGCCTAAAGATGGGGCAGAACCGGCTAAACGCTTCCTCAGAACCGCCTAAAGGTCCGGTTCCGGTTCCAGAACATCTGCTGGAAATGATGTTCTGATCCTAAAACGCTGCGGGTCAGAACCGGCGCCTCAGAGACCCGGTCCAGAATCTAGGCTCACTAATCGGACTCAAGAACTAAACGGTTCTACGGAAACCCAAAGGTTCTGGACTCCAGGAGCAGAATCAGAACCAAAACAACAAAGTTCTAATAAGTTAAAAGAAGCAGAGTTCTGGGTTCTATCAGAACCGGATCAGTGCACAGCATCCGCACCCCTCAGGGGAACCAGACCCGGGCCTTCCAGCGCCAACCCGGAGCTGCTGGTTCCTGCCACGCCGCTGACCCGCTTTCAAACAAGTTTGGCACCAATTGGACCTTTGTCCCACTGGAAGGTTTGGCCCAGTTCCTGCAGCCGGACCAGAACCAGGCTGTTCATGGTTGACTGAGGCCCAGACGGTACCGACAGGAAGTCCAGATTCCTCCTGGACATCGTCTGGACCAGTCGGAACCACATCCAGTAGAACCGGTCCCCCCTGGAAGGTCCGGCTTTTAGAACCGGAGCAACGCTCTCCTGCCTGGTACCGGTCCATCCCAGCTTCTGCGGCGCTTTGAGACCAGAACCAGGCCGCTCACCAACAGAATGAGGGAGTGTCGGTGGGACCTGCTACATCATTGCCATCGCCATGGCGACGCGGTAGGGTTCAGAACCGGGTCGGAATGATCAAAGCAGGAAGTTCTCCCGGTTCTCCTGAGGAACATCGGCGCCGGGTCAGGGAGGCAGCGACATGAGGTCGGTCCGGTCGGGGTGGGGGGGTGGGGTGGGGGGTGAGGAGGTGGTGGAGGATGAGGAGCAGCAGCCTTCATCTCTCCTCCTTCCTGGACACCTTGGAGGAATGCCAGGCGGTGGACCTGAGGACAGAGACAGGAAGTAAGACGGTTCCTACAGCAGAGACCGTTCAGTTCAAGACTTTTCAAGACTTTTCAGGACTTTTCAAGACTTTTTAATGCTACTTGAAATAAATATTTAAGACCAAATTCACAAGAAACAAGAACAACCTGCTTGCGACACCTTAACCCAATGTTAATGTTAAGCACTAATGTTTAAATTTAGAAAAGCTTCCCAAACAGGAAGAAAACTAAAAACACACAAATGACAGATAAATTTGAACAATTAATAAACTGAATTTACAAACTTAGTTTTAGAACAAACCAATGAGTTTCAAAGCCCCAGCTTTTTGCAGCTGTTTTTCTCTGTATGGTTTTCTATGTTAGATTGGGTGATCAGTGGAGGTGCTGCAGAGACCAGGGAGGAACTAAACCCAGAAATATCGCCTGTTTCTCTCTAACTCGATTGTGACGCTTTGTGTTTCGCGTTTCGCGTGCGACTCCACTGCCTTCATTCCCATCGTTCCCAGCTTCAATGACTTCTTGTGCCTCATGGATGTTTCCTGGTTTTATCCGTGGAGGAAACTCTGAGCTGGAGACGTTTTCGTTATATTTACACCTGCTGATATTTTCCAGTTAATGCTGCATCTCCCAAATGTCCCGGCAGCAACAACGCTTCATTGGTTCCGCTATCGGGACGGAACCAATGATAGAGAGCCGTTATTTCTTTGAAATAAAAAAAAAATGTTTTCAATTTTAATGTTTAATTTAGATTAAATCGTAATAAAATAATCCTATTCATGATGCTGATGAAGGTCATTCTCATTCCGTAAAAGTAA